AACTCAGTCTAGTATCATACCACTGTATCTAGTGTGAATAGTTTTTGACTCCTGCCAGCTATTTCTGTCCATAACCAAATTACTGTAATACACTGGGAAAATACTAAGTTTAAAAGTGACTTATATAGGTTATCAACACCAACAGTAGAAATTTCTTTAAATCTGTTGGCATGTAACCTGAAGATTGAATTTCCCACTTAAGATTGTATTTTATTACAATTAATACTATTAAAGAAACCAGATGAAAATGGTTTAATCATTTGGGACTAGGTAGTTCTAATGATTCAGAAAAGCTAATGCCTTCAACTAGGTGCCACAATACTTAATTTGGCAATGTAAAATAGGTAGAAAGTATTAACCAAATTAATATATTTATTTATATATAGTTTTCCTCTTTCTTCTTGTTTGGATAGCTCTTGACAAAATGATTTTTAAGATACATGAGAAGGTAGGCTGTATTCCCTATAGTAAGTCCATATGCATTATCTTTTATATTATTTTAATTATCTTTCAATGATTACAATTAAAAGCAAATGTAAGAATTATATTACTATTTATATTAATAGTATAACAGTAAGTTCTTATACCAACTTTAATACCAACACCTTTTGTTCACTAATAAAAATTAGTGGAAAGTCTACTATATGCCAGATACTGTCCTAGGCAAAAAATACAATTTAAAACATTCTATGTGTTGAAATTGCAAGAAAAGATTTCTACCCAATGAAGAGGTCTGTCATGGCTAACCTGCCAAGTCAAGTTCCCATCTTGTTCATTGTTGTCAATTTTCAAAGTATATGAATTTGAGATCTATTATTTTATTGTTTTAAAATTCTACTATACATTACACCACAAGAACAAGCAATTCCCAAGTTGTAGTGCTTTAATCCAACCAATATGTATCTTCTACTCAGGCTGTTTGTCTCATGAGCTGGGTTGGCTTTTCTCTGTACTGTCATTGTCAAGCTGCAACATCTGTACTTTCAGCTGGACCAGAAGCTGCCTTGAACACAAAGGTAGAAAAAATACTGGAGGCCCTTGAACTTCTGCCTAACTACTTCAGCCTAAAAGTAATATTATTCTATTCACAACCATCAGTACTGCAAAGTAATGTTGCTATATGCCTATGAGAAGTCAAGAATATATGAGTGAGCATGAAAAGTCTTTGTCATATTAAGTATATAAAGATTGAAATAAACCTTTTCTTTGATGCCAGGTAATGGTTTACAACCTTCTCAATGTATAGTCCTCCAGTAAAAAGCATCTTTGGGGTGGGGGGTGCTTCTCCAGACCAGGGGTCTTTAACTTAATCTGAGGACCTAGGGATACAGGGCCTTACAGTTTTCATAAATGCTTTGAAATTAATAGAAAATTTGTTGGAGAACATCATCTTAACTGAAGTTAGCCAGGTTTAGAAAGGCAAAGGCCCCATGTTTTCTCTCATATGTGGAATACAGCCCTAATACAAATACAAGCAATATTATAAAAAAATAGATTACTTTAAGGGGAGGTCACTAACAGAAGAGAGAGGGTAGAAGAAGGAAGTAAAGAAGGTGAATATGGTAGATGTACTGTCTATGTAAGAATGAACATAGAATTTTTACCCTGGTGAAATCACCATTAGAAGGGGACTAAAGTACCAAGGAGAAATTAAGTGGGAATGAAATAATTAGGGTTATAATACAAGCATACATAGAAATGTGACATAAAACTCCCTGTATAGCTATCTTAAACAAACAGATGGTAAAACAGGTTCTGTCTGGGGGTTGGTACCAGTGGGAAGGGGGAGGATATAAGGAAAGGGTGTAGGAGGTGCATATGGTAGAAATATTATGTACTCATGTAGGAAAATGGAAAAATAAGACCTACTGAAACTACACTAAGAATGGGGGAAGGGTGGATAAAGGGGAATAATAGAGGGGTGAATTTAACTATGATATATTATAAGCACTTTTGTAAATGTCACAATGTACTCCCAGTACAATGGTATAATAAAAATAAATAAATAAATAAATAGACTCAAAAAATAAATTGTTAGTATTAACACTGATAATTAACACAGGGTAAAAGTCAAACAAGTAATTTTCTTTAAGCTTCTCTATATTTTTAATGTTTTCTACAAAAAGTATTTAATATAAAATTATAAAAAGAACATGATTATACTCCTATGCAGAAGCTAAAAACACTAATCTCATAGATATAAAGAGTAGTATATTATATATCAGAGACCAGAAAGGGTAAGGAGGAAGGGGAGATAGAGGTTGACGAGTACAAAATTACAATTAGGACGAATAAGCTTTAGTGTTCTGTAACACGGGGGTGACTATAGATAACAATAATTTATTAAGTATTTCAAAAAAGCTAGAAAACTCTGAATGCTCTCAATACAAACAAATGATAAATATCTGAGGTGAATTACCTGACTTGATCATTATTCATTGTATGTACATATCAAAACATCACTGTACTCTAGAAATATGGAATTTGATATTTTCATGTGTCTTAACATGAAATTAATGTTTAATTTTCTAAAATACAAAAAAACAAAAATAAGAATATACTATATTACATCAGTATGATTTAGCAATTACCTAAATTATAACTTTTCAATTTCATTTTTATTAAAGCTGACTTCTTTAGTTACTGTATTGTTTGTTATAATAAGCAAATTCGTATTCATTATTGATATAGGACAAGAAATAGATGTAAGTTTCCCCCTCTTTATTAAAAATACATTAATTAATGGTGTCAATCCAAACTTTTTCTTCTCTTATAATTTTAAAATTTTCTTTTTTCTTTTCTGTAAAATGATCATTTTATAATGATTATACTGAGTTGAGTAAAATAAAATATTCCTGCGTACGCTTTTCTGGCCAAAAAAAAAAATCATTGTACTCTATAAATATGTACAACTATGTTATTAATAATAAAGAAACATGGATGTAACTTTGTTAGGCCTTGTTTTCTAGTCCAATTTGAGAGTGATTAACTACAACAAACAGTAAATCACCACCAACATCACAACCATGTTTCTCAACAAGAAGTGAAGCAGTGAGACACAATGCTAATTGAAACTTAGTTAAAATCAGTTATCTGTGGCAGTGCAGACTGAGAACAATCCTTTCTTTTTTGTTAACTGTCTCCCTTCTGGAATACGAAACGCTTACTTTCATATCCACCAAAAACACCTGACTCAGGATGAAGCGGATAGGTTACTCTAGTAACAAAGACATCTTGGTATAATAGTACTATCCCAGAACCTCTGCAAAGAGGGTCCCTAACACTAAGATATCTGAAATGTTCCTAACACAGCACTCAAATGCTGTACTTAGATGACATTTTTTAAAAGTGAAAAAGGATTACTCATTTTTTATGTTAGTATAAATATCATTTTATATGAAGGTCCAATTCAAATAACATTTCCTCCTGGCTAAACTTACTCAGGGTAACTGTCACACAGACACAGCACTGGGAAATTATGGAGAGGCCTCAAATACAATGAAGTTTGTTTTGTTTAAACTTCTATTTATCTTGACATCATCATCACGAACCTATAGAAATGTTCTGCTCAATTAAAGACTTAAAATTCTTTAATATTGCATCCATGTTACAATAAACATAGCCAATATGTTTCAGAAGTAAGAAACTACAGTAAGGTTAAATCATTGCATAGAACCCATACCTTAAAGTACATATTTTTATTCTATGAACTGTAAGTCTTAAGAAAGTTTCATTACTCCAAGGTAAGTAACTGCAAGGAGTACAACTTAAAATTTTTATTTCTATTTAATAATAATCCTAAAAATACTTTCAAGGAGATACATTTGTCATCAAAGGTGTTATTTTCTTTAAGATATAAACTGCATGAATTTCTTAAAAATTTAACCTGCCCATTTATTATTCCTTTTATGATCTACCAAGAGAATTTACAAGAAATTCTTTTCTTCTAAGGAACTGTGTCAAGTTAATGGAACTCTTTGATTCCTGAGATTACTTAAAGAATAGACTATCAAGAAAATAAAAGGACAGACTCTCTGGGAAATAAAAACAGCAGATGCTATACTCATTTATGTAAATGCAACACATTTTATTGGACACAATACTAGCAAAATTCCTAGTTTTGTCAATAACAAGGTAGGATCCACATTTCCATACATTTTATTAATACATAAAAAATATTTTAATAATGACACAGAAAACTAATAATTTTTCATTTCCCATTGAAAGAGATAATACTGTAAATATTATGTAACAACAGGGAACAGATCCAAGAGATGAGAGTAGAGGGAAGAGAGAATGGAACGGAGTACTGAATGAGAATACAAAGGTGTCTGGGCAATTTCTTACGAGATGTCACCTTCCAAAATTACTTCCAGTAACTTACTTAAATTTCTAAAAATGAACTTTACATTTTTGTTTTAGAAATAACAGTGGAGTAAGAAAACTGATCAGAATGGTGCCAGCTAAATCAGTAAAAATTTAGATTTTTCATTGTATTGTGAGAAGGTTTTACCAGGGAGCATCAATCTTTCTGTGGGAGACAATGATTTTTGGCAGGAGAGTACTTGGCACCCATATGCAATTCAAACAATGTGCTCTTACCAACTCAGTTCCAAACAAATTAGGTGTATTCACTTCTGTATACTCATGACTGGCTCCTCCAAACAAAAGCTTCTACCACCCTACTGTGTCTACCTTCTTTTTCTATAGCAGAATGATTCAAAAGTTAACTTACTTTTGAGAAGTACAGTAATTGGATTTGCTTGTCCTCACAAAACCACTTCCTTTACAAAAATAGAGGCTTTCCCAGTTAAGAGTTGAGCACTATCCATGTTTGTCCTTCAGACATTTAATGATTCATACATTATTTTTATAATGCTAAGTAAAATCTCTAACAAATAATAATCCGTTCTTCATTAAGAAAACTACTACAATAAATTAAAATTAAACCCAAAGCAGGAAATGAGACCGAAATCTGAGATTTGGAAATCATTACTTACTGCAGGTACCAGTAATTTCTTCACTTCTTCAACTGCTCTCTTCAGTTTGATTTCTGCTCTGTTCTGAGCATCTTCCACAGTGATTAGTACATGTAAATCTTCATTTAGATGCTCCCAATTGGGCTTGCCTCTATTTTGCTCCTCCTGTAAAATTTACAAAGTAAACCATTACAAATATTTTTCTTTATAGACATAGTACAACTTCCATATAATATTAACCATTGCCAATTATTCAAAGCCACATTTGCATTATTTTGCTAAGATAATATTGCAGATCTTTTCAATTATTTTCCTAACCCAAACTCAACAAAGTTTGGATGTGGGTCTATTAGTCAAATGAGAGCTAATTCAACAAGTATTTTGAAGGACCTGCTATGTACCAGGCATTGAGCCAGATGCTAAGGATGCCACAATGAGCAAGATAATCACAACCCCTGTAGAGCTGCTATGTACTGAGACACTTACATATGGCATCATCTTTAAATTATCATTAAAAACACCTTAAGGGCAGGGGGGAGAAATGAACCAAGCCTTGTATGCACATATGAATAATAAAAGAAAAATGAAAAAAAAAAAAAAAACAACACCTTAAGAAACATGTTTTTCTGTGTTTTACGAACAAACAGAAAGTCATCAAGGTTAAGCAGGCCACTTATCAAGATCACTGTCAATTTAGAAGATGAAGTCAAGTTCTCATTCTCAAACTTCCACTACATAATAACATTGCTGTATTCAAAATTATAAAAAGTATTTTGCAAATAATCTTTATTGTGTAAAATAAGTATTATTTTAAGTATTTCAAGTGGCAATTATAGAAACATTTCATTGTAATCACAGGGAATAAGTGCAAGAATAGTTTTAACTATATTTCCATCAGACTTTACTTTCAAAATGTGAACTTCATCATAGCAAGTCACACATACTAGCTTCATAGTGAATACCTATGCTTCATTTCCTTTCTGACTTCTAATCACCAAGTAAGGAAAGACCAATGCTGAAAACCCTGTCAAGCTACAGGGAACAGCAGAAGTGGCTACAATTCTAGTTCACCTAAGATATAGTAATTTCAGGGACAGTCCTAGCATTAAGTTTTAGAGATAATATGTAAATATATTTGTAATGTAAAATTTATAAATAAATACACATTTAAAAGACCAAATTAGAAACTAAGACTGCAAACTTCTAAGTAACAAATGTTACACAAATGTGCACATGGTTCAGAGCACCGCAGTAATTGACACTTGCCATTCTTGAACTTTTATCATGAAGTTCACTACTTTACTAAACTGTACAATTCCAATCAAAGAAAATAAAATGGTAAACTACTAGCTCAAAGTGTATCTCTTTCAACATTAGATCACCCCACATTCCTTTTAACAACACATCTTAGCAAAGCTAGGTTTTTGGCAGCTGCTATAATAAAAAGTTCATTCAAAAAGCAATGTGGAACAAGTACAGAATACGAGTGTCTAATCTGATTTGGAAGTCTGAAAATTTGAACAGCAGCTAAGGAAACAGAAATTAAGAAATAATGTGATTATTCGAAAATAATGTTTTAAAATTTAAGATATTTTGTTATAAATACTAAATCAAAATAACTTGGGAGGTAAAAAAATTAATACATAAAATGATGAGATATATCTTTTTGCCTAGGAACAGCATGGAACACCATGAGAAACTGGGAATCTCAGCATTGTCTGCGTGACAAAGAACATAAAATGTGCACAAATACTTGTACTTGGCAATAAAAATTTAAAATTTAAATGTAGACTTTAATTTTTATGTTGAAGAAGGCTGACAATGTTTCCCCACCAAGTTTGTTTTTATTTACTTTTTTATTTTTTTTCAGTAGGTAAGACTTACAAAAGCTACTTTTATTATTTGGTGATCCTAAAAATGTCTCTATTTATCTAAACTCATATGTATGAGAGATTTTGTTTCCTGCCAAAACAAAGTAACAGGAATCATCAGACTCAATCACCCAAAGAACCACATTAAATAGCAGTTTCAACATACTGACAATCAGGCCACAGAGAACAAGGGTAAGAGTAATGGAGGTGGTGAAGGGGTGGAGAGGGCAAGTCTATGACTGCTCAGCTGACTACCTTAAGAGTCTCCTAGCTCACAGAGTTGAGGAGACCAAAGTTAAGAGTCCAGGAAAACTATAGCGGTGGACTCAGACACCAGTACTGAACAAAAACTGCTGGAGAATGACCAAGTCCCAAGCAGGAGACTGAACGTTAACCACTGCATTATGGGCAGAAAATTCCAGAGGCCAATGTAAGAGCTGCCAATGTCACAAATTACCTAGTTCTCACAGGGAACCAGACTGAAAACACCTCATGATTTACAAACGTTTCACAGGACCATCTTGCTTCAGTTCAGAAAACAATTCAAGGTAGTGTAGCCATTGCTCCTATACTGCCTACATACATTTTAAAAGCAAGACTTAAATGGACCAAACTGTTTCCAACTAACTTAACTGTGTCCCAGAACAAAACTCAAGGAATACAAAAATATCCACTCAGCACGGTAAAATCACACTATGAGGTGTCTCATCAGAAATGAAGTCAGTACAGAAGCAGACGTAAAGACTACGACCTGAAAAGGACACCAATCGATACTAAGCCACAACTGACAGGCGCTACAAACAGATAGATGCATTAAAAGCTACTGTGTGAGATACTGATGCACACAGATACTAACACAAGGGTAACTGAGTAAAATTTAAAATTCAAAACATTTCAGAAAAGCTTAAGAATAAAAACTGAAATCTTAACCTGCCACAAAAACAAACAACCAAAAAACACACACACATGGAAGAAAGAGAATATGGGCTCAAGTGTAGTGCCTGCCTAGCAAGCGCAGGGCCCTAAATACAATCCCAGATAACACCAAAAACACAAAACAAACAAACAAAACCCAGGAAACAAAGAACAGAGTTGTAGTATAATTTGCCACTAGGCTTTACTGAAGGAATAAATTTTCTAAGTTATAAACTACCTTGGCAAATGTGTACTTTTAACTCAACAATTTAAAGCAATGTGAAAAAAATTAAGTTCTATGTATTCTAATGTTATCTTCAAAAGAAGCACTTATGTTTACAGTTTTTAAAACAAAGAAGAGAAGCTGTCAAAGATGGTGAAATCAATGAAATCATGCACTTAAAGTCTCTGCTAAAATTCTTAAAAATCAGTTTAGACCAGGTGTAGTGGTGTGCAGCTGTAATTTCAAACTGGGGAGGCTAAGGCAGGAGGATGGCAAATTCAAGGCTAGTCTGGGTTACATAATGACACCCTGAATCTCCACAGCAACCACAAGAGTTTAAAATATAAGAACTCAATTTAAAAAAAGAAAATAGAAAAGGAAGCAATAAAAAGTCTTTTCAAAACTATGACTAAAGTAACAGCAAAGACAAAATAAATAATCACTATATGGGAGTATGTTCAAAGCTTTAAGGCAATAAGAAATGACAAGAAGATTCAAGGAAATGGACACAGGAAATAGTAAAAAGATAGCAAATTAAAATTTAGTAGCCTACTAAAAGTTCTATACTGTTTTCACCTAACCAAAGAAAAGATACATATTATAGTGTATATTCTCAATAAGCATATTATGGAGAAATAAACTTCAAGTAACTCTATCATTCAGGTGATGAAAAACTTTAAAAAGATGATAATGATGATGATAAATCATGGTAGCTTTTATTAAACACTTACTTCATGCCAAGTATGATGCTAAACAACAAAAATGCACCATATCATTCAATCCCCCAAACTAAACTGGAGGCTGAGGCAGACATGGCTTGCCCAAGTCATGCCAACAAGTTGTGTGTGCACCCAGGCAGGCAGCCAGCCTCAGGGCTTGCGGTCTCAACAACCAATTCCTAGCAAAAGACCTCACCTACTGAAGAATCCTAAAATAAGCAACTGTCCCAAACCAATACCATAAATTAGTGAAAGGCTAGAAATACAACACAGAGTTCTTGAATCTAGAATCCTTCCTAATCCATAATCAAATATTTTTGTGGAGTTCTATGTGTATCTTTTTTTTTTTTTTCAGGCTCTCTCTTAAATTTTACAAATTCTGATTCCATCCACAAGAGTGTAAGTATTCATCTTGTGGGCCAGACCTAAACAGGGAGCAATATATTATCGTATGGAATTTTTGGGACATGAACTCTTCCCACTCCAATTTTAGGTTATTTAATTGAGCAGGTGTGAAGAACAACTGTTGGCTGAATTTTCTTTGAAAACTTCACTTAGTATAAATCATCCACACAGGTGGAAAAGGAACCCAGGGGTATTACCCACTGAAACAAGGCACAAAACTAATGGTGTAGAACCTGGCTAAGCTGTGGGTCTGGTGGTGACATTATTCAGCAGTCTTTGCACTGCGATGCCAGAAACACAATATACCTCCACCCTATTGCTGTTTCACTGTGAGAGTCACTCATGGCTTCCACTGCTGTTTAATCTTGTTTATGGCCATCTGTGTAAGCAGGACAATCTGCAGGAGAAGTAAGGAGGACTTTGGCCTGCCTCACAAGGGTCTCTCCAAAGCTTACTTTCTGCAGAATGAAAGGGAGGATGCGTAAAGTGTCTGCAGGCACATGGGCCTCCAGTCAAATCCCCACACTCTAAGCATATCAGTCCTGACAGAATTTTAGTCGATATAGGGACTTTTGAGTGCAGATAAATAGATTAAAGAGATTACTTGGCAGCTACGTTTTGTTTGGTTTTCATATTGGTCCTATCTCCTAATTCAAGCCAAGCCAAACCTTTTTTCAATAACTGATTTCCCTGACATAGTCACATGAAGAATATCAACAACCCAGAAAAAGCACCTGAAAAGATCACTTGTGTCTACAAAAATGCTTTATCCCTGAATCAACTACCAAATTTTAATGATACAAATATACAAAAGGGATAAACCTATAGCCATTTAAGTTAACATAGTCTTTAAAGTTTTCAATAGATGAGTTTATTAAAACTAAAAGGCTGATAGAATGCCTGTCTAGCAAGCATGAGGCCCTGAGTTTAAATCCCAGTACCACCAAAAAAAAAAAGTAAAAATTTAGACAACTAAAATACAGCCTTCATACACCATGCATATTTCTAACATCACTAAGTCAGGCCAAACAA